TAACAATTCACTAGGTCTTACGTTTTCACCAACAGGGCCCAAAGCATTCAAAAAACAAAGAAAAAAACACCTTGCTTTTAATTTAATAATCATGTTTTCTTAACAAACTAGGTGTAGCTCCTTTTTAGATGATGACGAAGATTATAGATAATTGCTTATACATATTAATTAAATACGATATAGTATATAGCGTAGAGAAATTATCAAAATGATGCCAACGAAGAATATTTGTTGAGGAAATGTACTTCCAAAACATGGCAGAGGCTATCTAATAAATATGATATGTTTTCAAATGCAGCCCACGATACATGCCCGCGCAAATGCGCGGGCTACCTTACTAGTTATTGCTAGCGGTTTTCTCTGGCCTTCAGTCACATGAGGCTATTCTAGCCGCCAGCAAAGACTGATTTTAGCCACCAGAAAAAAAGATATTTTTTTAAGTAATCACAGCGCATAAACCATAACATTCGCCATGTGTGGTTACTCATCCTATCTTCCTATATAGTTAATACCCACTAAGAAGCATTTACTCCTATAAAACAAGACATGCAAGAAGCCACATCATCAACAATTTTAAGCCATTGAATCGCATTAGTATAGAGTTATCAGCCGTTGGATTAAGAAGTTATCTACTCATCCATCTAATTTAATCATTGATTACTCATCCATTCACCTCCCTTTAGCTCATAATCACGTGTGACATTTTTCTCCATTCTGCACATCCAAATCCTCAAAGATAATACTAATCTTTTTTTAAAATACAACTCCAATTATTACATAAGATGTGAGCTTTATTTTGTTATAAACAATTGGATAACATACAATAATTAGGTATCATTAATCCAAACTCATTTTTGAAACATGCTTGAGACAAAGCAGAGAAGTGCTACACTACCTAATTGTGTCGATATCCAGGCTGTGCATGAAAATAACTTTCATATATCATAACAATACACGATGATGTTTCAAAAAATAAAACATGAATTGTATTGTAATAACAGAAGCTATATATGAAGCCGCATTAGCATCTATTTTGTATATACAGAGAGTTGCATCTAATCATTTAAAACATTGATTTTATTCAATGATAAAACTAGCAAAACCTGCGGTATGGCGCGGGGTGCCAACTAGTTTTTCCCCGAGTGAAAGCCACTAGCTGTTCTCACCAACAAAAGGTACGACTTAAAAAGAAAATCAGTGACATGCCTGCGCTATCATGGAGCACAACATTGACAGTTACTTCAACATGTTTATCTCACGAGAGCGACGTGGTATGATCATTTAAACCATATCTATCTATACCTGTCAACTTTTGTTGTGATTGGAATTTGGAACATGCATGATTTATTAGGGATCAGCTGTCTTGCACGGTTTGTCTTCAGACCCGAATAAAGCCAGCAGCCTGTTAATGGAGGTAGCTTCAATATACTCATTCAAGTGGTTGCTTGGACGTCTTGACTTCAGCCAAAGACGTTTTTAGTGAAGAGCTGGAGCTTAGCATTAACAAGGCATTGATGATGATCTGGATCAGTTAGCTGGTGATGGTGGTGGCCGGTGGTCGTGGGTGAAAGCAATTGAGCAAAGAGCTGAAGAGCGGAGAGGAGAGCAGAGGTCTCACGGCCTCACAGGTGACATGGATCTTCTGTGGCCACTACGTTCCAGCTTGTCTATTTGGTGCGGGCATGCGGCTACACGAGAGAAAGAGAAAAAGCAAATGGCCACACATACAACTGGTGCTTACAAGCTTCGTCCGACTAGTTATTTAGTTGTTACTTGCCTAATCCTACATGGACAGAAGTTGGTCTGCATGGAGAGAAACTAGACGCACGATTGAAAGATGAGGCATGGTCGGATGCTGGTCGCCTAATAAAATAAAGTCGTACATATAATAGGAGACGAAGAAAAAACCTTCGACGTGAGGGATTCATTTGATTCCATTACTAGGAAGGTAGTCATTTATCGTTTGCTTATTGGTTTATCAATTACTTAAAGTTTGAATTTGAAGTCCTAATTAGGGTTTGAGATATATAGTACTTAATTTTCTCTTCCTACCTTTTTCTTGTTCATGTCTATTTTTGCCTAGTTTACCTAGTCGTATTTTTCCCCAAAAATTAAACTACTAAAAATAGGGATATAAAGGTTTACAAAAAATATTTTTGGTTAGCTAACTAGAGGCACTTGTTCTTTGTTGGCACTTGGGCTTTGGCTATATAGAAAAATTTTTGAAAATATACAATTTTTTTAACGAAATTGCAAGAATATACTAATTAGGGGAAGATTTGCGTAAATACACCGCCGTCGCACTTTGGTTAAGCGAGAGTGTGATATCGCATAATGGATTAGCAAAGGCGCCAGCGCTATCAGAGCGCTAATACATCGATCTCGCATTCCAAAAGTGCGAGAACGACTCGGTCTCGCACGATCGTAGAGCGATTTCGCGGCCGTTTGACGCGAACCCAGACCGGCGGGGCCCCAAGCAGTCTCGCGCTTTGACAGCGCGAGAGCGCGTCCCACCTGCTAATGGAATGCATGAGCCATGCACGTCCTGGCATATGTCCATCTATATGTGTGTTCAGCCATATATACATGCATGCTTGGCTAATGTGTATACGTGTACATGCATGAGCCAACAAGAAGATGATCTATTTGACGGCTATATATATATATGTGTGTATGCATATTCGTATATACGGCATGTTCACTTGTGGCCTTCATAGACACGATTCAGCGGCCGTATTCACTAACGATATGTACGTATTCGCCGGTATAGCCGGTATCCATTTTTGATTGAGCGATAGCAAAGCGCTCTCTCGCTTTGCCAGAGCGATACCGCGCGTCGGTCTCGCGCATTGGGACAGCGATACCGATATCGGTCTCGCGCTTTGCGCGTGCGAGACCGGCGGCCCACTTGCACCCGGTCGTTTCACCAATGTAGGTCCCACGACATGCTCGGTCTCGCGCGTTGGGATTATGAGACCGATTTCGCTCTTGCGCTTGCACACCGTGATACCGGCACGTTGTCGGTTCCTTCACATGGCGCTCTCGCTCTACGAAAGAGCGATATTCTAGCGGACTCGCTGTTTCCACAAGCGACGCCGCCAGCTCAAATGCACCCTCGCGAGTTAATAGTGTGATAGCGTGGCAGTATCGCATTTTGTTGTCGCGAACCTAGGTATCGCTCTTTCAAGCCACGATACCGACAGTATATTTGTGCAAATCATTCTCCATCTGGTATATTTTTGCAAAACAAATCCATAAACAGTATATTTTCAATTTTTGGTCTGGCTATATTCTCCATTCATCCTTGCCTTGGCAAACCATTTGCTTAGTTTACTTCATTTCGATGGCAAGGTATTGAAGGACGAGGCTAGCTATTTGTACTTTTGTAGGACCGTGACTATTTGGTTCTAGAGCCAAAGCTTGGTAACCAGTACTAAATGTTTAATTTGCTTTCATAATAAATATACCTTACATTTTAGAGTGACCCAACTAGAAAACAAGGTATAATTAACACGCCAACCTTGATACGTTAATTTTAAAATAATAATCAAATTGGAGGAACAAGCTTAATTGTTCAAAATTAAACAAATGAAGAAAATTGGCGTGGTTCGTGCCTTCTTTTTCCTGATACGAAACAAGAACAAGAATAAACAAATTTATTGAAAATCCTAGTAGAGATGATATCATAGAGGAGGACGCTATTCAAATTATCTATCATATATATTTCCATGCAAAAAATATTTATCATAGTTTTTAACTGATTTATCATATTATTAAGACAAGACTATATAAAATGAGCAGCCCCTTTTGCCTGGAGGACCTGGAAATTATCGTATAAACCAGAGAAAACAGGAAATAGTTTGCACCACTTAATCATGGCATATCTAGATTATATGTATTGTATTCCTGTAATGATAATAAAGATTTGAGTTTTGCAGATATCTTGCTCTCCTGAAGTGACCTAAATGGAGGACCTATGTTCATCTTTACTTATGTGAAACAATCTATTTTGTTTTCCGAGAATAACGTCGTCAAGCCACAATTTTATTTTGGCATATGTGATTATGTTAAGCTAATTTGAACACCCACAAGTTACGAAACAATGAGTGAACGGCCGACAACTCCATATTTGATATTTTCACAGTAAGTCCAAATTATGAAAACCTATCTTGTCGGCATAATTTGTATGACGTGTCCTATCACAACAAACTCATTTAAAAGAGAGACTTTTTCATCATATTTTCAAAAATAGCTACTTATATAAAAACGAATCGTCATTCGTCCTCCTCCACCATCCCTACTTTCCTAATGACGTAAAAAACCACCCAAATTAAAAAAAAATAGGTAAAACTAAACCCACAACCACAACCCATAAAACCATTTGTCCATATTTTTTTCAACCCGTCATGAAGCACAAGTGTATATAAAAGATATATTTTTTGAAAACATATATTCGAACGTGGAGCAGATACTACCTCCGTTGACGCCGTTAACTTTTAAATAAACGTTTGATAATTCGTCTTATTCATTTTTTTTACAAATATAAAAAATTTTAAGTCACGCTTAAAAAATATTTGACAATAAACCAAGTCACTCTAATATTTAAAAATATTAGTTATTTTTAATAACAAATAGTTTATACGTATCTTAAAAATCAATGACGTCATTTATTAAAAAACGAAGGGAGTAAATCACAGCAAAATATAATATGGGTGTGTTTAGTTCCTGAAAAAAGTTTGAAGTTTAAAGAAAGTTGGGAGTTTAGAAAAAAAAAGTTGAAAGTTTATATGTGTAGGAAAGTTTTTGATGTGATATGTTGTGATAGAAAGTTAGAAATAGGGGGAAAACTAAACACGGCCAGGTAAAGTAGCTAAAGAGAATGGCGTGATGGGTACTCCTCTTTCCACTTGGCACTTGGCAGGTGACCTGGCGCACACGCCGGCGTCGTAGAAGATCCCTCGGCCCTCGGCTCGCCTCATATAACTCTCGTGAGCTCCCCGGCAAGACGCCACCACCACCACAAAACCGATTCCCTACTCCGCGAATCCGTCCCCGAGAACGCGCGCGCCATGAGCGCCGCCGTAGCAGCCTCCTCGGGCGCCCCCGCCGCCGACGTCGAGAAGGGCGCCGCGGCCGCAGACGCCAACGTCGACGGCGGCGGCGCCCCGGCGGCGGCGGCGGCGTCGGGCGAGGGCGTGGTGAGCGCCGTGGTGCGGCGCTGGCGGCGGCAGGACCTCCTGGAGAAGTCCGGGTCGGCGCTCCGCGTCGCCGCGTGGGCCTTCTCCCTCCTCGCCTTCGTCGTCATGGGCGCCAACGACCACGGCGACTGGAGGCAGTTCGAGCACTACGAGGAGTACAGGTGAGCGAGCGAGCGAGCTCCCCTCTCCCGCCGCGCCATTGCCCCAAGTGCACTACCCATCCTTGATCCATTGATGGATGTCTCGCCGCCTCGGTCGTTGTGGTGCGGCGGCGGCGGCGACGGTGAATTGCTTGCGGCGGTGAACACATTTGACCGAACGGTTGGTGGGTGCTTTTTTCTCTTTGTGCAGGTACGTGGTCGCGATCGGGGTGCTCGCCTTCATCTACACGACGCTGCAGCTGGTGCGGCACGGCGTACGGCTCACCGGCGGCCAGGACCTGCAGGGCAAGGTCGCCGTACTCGTCGACTTCGCCGGAGATCAGGTCAGCGCCGCTCGCCGCACGCCTCGATTATGCGTTCCTCGGTTGCACTCTTCCTGCTGACCTCTGTTCAATTAATTGCCGTGACATCTATGCAATGCATCGAACATCTGTCGCATCATCTCGCCGTAGGAGATAAACTCAAATTTATTTAATCAATCAAAAGCATTAGCCACTTGCTTGTTTGCACAATAGGAAAACCGGATGGATACTTGGACACCGGAATGAAACTTAAATTTGTTTATCAATTATTCATCATTTGCAGAGTGTGGATTGCTCATTGGGATTCAGGTTTTATCTTTGGTGTTAAGTAAGGGAGCAATTCTTTAGTTAGGGTTTTGAGAATTAGCTCTGCTGTAGTGCTAATGCACAGCACGATCGTCCTGACAACTGTTCATGGGATGCAGTTGAGCAGAGAATTATAGCGCAAAGCTGTCATGTGCTGGCTGGAATTTTGATCCATTCCATAGGCTGATTGTTAATTAGTTGTCGTTGAAAGAGACATAATGAGTCCACATGGCATTTCCCGTAACAGTTCATTTCATACCTTACATACCTCTGCATAATAGAAGTTGTAGTACTAGGATTAGTAGTTCTCTTCCTACTAATGGTCTGATGAACATCAGCCAGCACAGATTTGTCTGGATCACAAATTGCACATTTCGATCCATATGGAAATGCAAGAAGCTGTTTGAGTCTGTTTCAAAAACCACTGACGAGCATTGAGATATTTAATTGCATGAGCCCTTGGTTTGATGATATGATATCAAGTCGATCTAAAATAATGTCAGAGTTTGTTTATGATTGATCTCATATGTTCGTGGTGACCACTGATCAGAGCTGTTTGCTTACGGAATTGAGGTTGTGGATAAAGACAAAATATGAAGTTGACAATGACCTGTATGTTATCCAAGTAGCTTCGCATCTAAGTTTCCTTCTGTCGAAATTCCAATTAAGCAAAATTAAAGACAAATGCTCTAGAGCCTTTGACTTGATAGCAGGCCGGCCATTTTAAACACTACCTGTAAGAATTAGATACGCTAAGCATGTGCATGATGGCAATACGAACCTCGGAGTATCTGAACATAATATACTATGTGCTTAATTAATTAATGTTGACAGTGACCTTTATACTATATTCGTATTTTAATAAATATTCCCTCAGTTTTAGATTCTAAAATGTTTTGCCTTTGGTCAAAGTCAAACTACTTAACTCTAAGTTTGACCAAGTTTATAGAAAAAAGTAACATAGTTAATTTTTAACACATGCTTAACCATTATCTTATTCAAAAGTTTTGAAAAAAATATATAATATATAAATTATGCTTAAAGTATTTTTAACGATAAAACAACCCACAACAAATGTATAATAATTAACTATTTTTGAAATAAAATAAATGATTAAACGTGTTGTGCATTATATATTAAAAAATGAAGCTAGTATATATACAATGCACGCTAAAACACTAATGTTTTATCGTGGTTTCGATACGCATATGGTGCTACTGCAGGTGACGGCGTACCTGCTGATGTCGGCGGTGTCGGCGGCGATCCCGATAACGAACAGGATGAGGGAAGGCGCGGACAACGTGTTCACCGACTCGTCGGCGGCGTCCATCAGCATGGCCTTCTTCGCCTTCCTCTGCCTCGCCCTCTCCGCCCTCGTCTCCGGCTTCAAGCTCGCCAAGCAGACCTACATCTGATCTGATGGGATCCATCCATGTCGATCGCCGTCGTCTGATCCTGTTATTTGTACAGCTAGTTGATTGTTGGTTTCTTCATAGTGGTGGTGATGATGTGGTATACTCGTGTGGTACATACGTACACGTACGGCTTTGTTTCTTGTTTATATTTGGGACTGGAATCGGCCGGTGGGGTTAATTTGCGTGTTTAGGGGAGGATATTGATCGATTCATTTCATTGGATGATTTGATTGTCTTGCATGTGTTTAATTAGGCGTATATATGTAATAGCAAACCGAATATTAAACTTGTACTTCATTATGTGATTATATACAACAAATTGGAGACGTCAGTGTGTGCGGTACTGTGGCCTGTGTGGGTCACACTCCCTCCCTCTCGCTCGCTCGCTGGTGCCAATTGAATATCTCTACATATGCAGATGCAGGTTACGCCACGTTTGGAATCCGGAAATGTTTTCATGTTTCCATGAACCGTTTACTATCAAATTTATGCGTATCATCCACACGGGCCTTTGTTTTTTTTTCTTTTAATCTCGTCCAGTGCCCTGTGTTAACAAAGGTGGGCCAAAAAACTATTTTTTTCCTCGCAAAAATAGTTTTTTTTCAATAAAGATATATAATGATGTCGACGTGGAAATGTGGAATTAACAACTTTTCTCATAGACGATGTAGGTCCCCGCTCTCGCCAAAATGGCCCGGCCCAAATGAGGATAGTTTGGGCCACACATTCAAGACTTTTCCTTGCTGGATTTTTTTTAACACATGCAGATAGGCAATCCAGAGAAGAAGAAAAAGAAAGTCCACCCCCAAACTATTTCACCAGATTACGTCATTTTGTTAGCGGAGAATAGGGATCTGGGTATGGGGATTGCTTGGTCCTATGCTAGCGGAGACAGGTAAGGGGCGCTATTTCAAGCTTTGGGTAGATGTGTCAGTCTGGTTCGAGAAGATCCGTCATTGTTTAAAGATAATACGAGTACATGTTTCAAGTGTAGAATTTGAATCCCGATGAATTGATTCCATAATAAGAAACATAGTAGTTGAACTACACTCATTTCACCTCTTTTTATTTCTTATTTTACACCGAGCTATTTAAAATTGGTTCGATTTACTCTGTGACAGTAATTATCTTTTTTAATCTATACATCATAGTTTGCAATAAAATTTGATAGAATTGATATATGCGTTACAATATATCTGTCAAACATTATTTTGAATTTTTTTTCCAATATTTCCTTTGATAATGATATCATCTATAATAAAAATCCCGCTTAAACCCAACTTGTATAAAGAGAAACGAGTGAACCTGTTAATAGTTTTGGTGCTTCTTTGCTACGTATAAAAATCATAATATAACTATTTTAAAATAAGCATTAAACGTGCTACTCATCTGTTTTTTTAGGGGGGGAGGATATTCTTACACATGGCTATTCATTTTGGTGTAGTTTATTTCTTAGTTTCGACATTCATGAACAACAATATGACCAAATCAGGTTAATAAAATGGTTTTGCAACCGTCACAGTATATATGGCCATTTAATTGTCGATACGGTCATTTTCCACGACACTTATATAAACCCGTACTGGTTACAGTAAACAATTTTACAATATTTGAGAAAGTAGCACTATATCATGTATCATGAGGTACCACTCACATCCAACCGTTTATTTGTTAGGGGCACAATTGGTATCAAGGCTGTAAGCAGTGCATGACTAGCCATCCTATTCATCTTTCCTCTACGTTAGCGCCACCCTCAAATCAACAGTTTCGGCGACATGCGCTAGCAGGGCCACCAACGTCGTCGACCTACTTCACTTATGCGAGCTCAAACTAAGTAATAACAACATACTCTATTTGATTAAGGGGCTCCTTTCACGCCCATGAGCGTCAGGAGGGGAAGTCACCCACACTTCCCCTGACTCTCCACATGTCCTTCCCGTCCACTCCCCCTGATTCCATTATGCACTCATCCTTTCCTCACATCCCCTCTCTATCAGTGCACGTGAGCGAGCAACGACGATGGCCTCTTGGCAAACCTCTTCCTCCTCCCCTGGCGTCCGGCGAACTGTTCCAATGGAGAAGAGGGGATGCCATCAAGCTACGGTGACGACGACACAAGTGGAGTGGGCGACGGTGATGACGACCGAACGGAGCGGGCAACGGCGACGGCCCTCCGGTAAGACCCTCCTCCTCCCTCCAGTAATAGATTAGCTCTTTCTCCACCGCCGCCACCAACCGTGCCACCGCTTGAAAGGCATCAACGTGCTGGTGTGGCCTTGTCCCGCTCACCTCCTCCCCTTCCGTGTCATCTTCACCTCGCTTTGCCTCGCTACCAACCCCATGGCTCCACCCGCCCCTTGTCCGCCATCCACTGCCGATCTGTCGCCGCCTAGGCCATCCCTCTAAATCCGATCACCCACTTCTCTCTCCCAGCACTGTCCTTCCCATCCCACCTCAAAACCCTAACCGTAACTCTAGCTTGTCACTACGCAATCCGAAACCACATGTGACTTCTCTTCCTAGCGCATGCTCTAATTAGGAATCTTGCTTGATCACTGGCTACGCAAAAAATAATTAGGAGCATTTCTACCTGGATAATAACACACTTATCATGTTGTTGCCGTCCATGGAGAATAAGCACATGAGTCAGCAGACTGCAGCCTTCGGAGTCTATAGCCATCATAGTCCAGACATGAGTGGGGGCAGAGGAGATGGTAGCTAGCGATGCTCGTGCACGAGAACGAGTGGAGGAGACGACAGGCAGCGACAGGTGGTGCTCAAGCGAAGCGGATGCAGCTATCGTGTCCATGTGCGCGTCGGAGAGGAGGAGATGGTAGCCAACGATGGCCGCTTGTGAGAAAAGTGGAGGAAACAACGGCAAGCGCCGGTGGCACTTAAGCGAAAGTGGATAAGGCAGCGGCAACTGTTGCATCCACGCTCTAGCGCGAGCAAAGGAGAAATAGTTATTGCAAAATTATAGATTTATCTTCTCACCATCAGAAATCAATCGGTACCTGCTCTTAGGGCACTCACAGTGCAGGACACTCATATGAGAGTTTCCGAGGTGCCACATAGGCTAAGACTACGGGTTTAAAATATGGGTTCTTCACAATTCAAGTGGTTCTAGGAGTAGCTTTAATTTTAGGGTAAATTGGAACCATGCCATTATAATTTTGCAAAGTTTGAGATATGTCATCGGTATCTCAATGACATGTAGGACCCACATGAGTCAATGACATGTGGGTCAGGATGGCATATCTTAAATTTTACAAAATTATAATGGCATGGTTCCAATTTTCCCTTAATTATTTTAAATTTCAGCCCCGGATACTTTTTGTTCCAATTCTTATTTTTTTTCCAATTTATTTAAAATTTACATTGGACACCCTGAAATACAGAAAACATATGAAATCCCCCTCCCCCCTCTCTCTCCCTTATCCCCTTCCTCACTCTCGGTTCCCACCATTCCATGGCGACGACCCTGCTTCTCTCCATCCACTCGCTGTTGGTGCACCACCCCTCCTCTCCTCCTCCCATGGTTGGCGGTCATCCTTCCTTGGCCGGCATGCTGACGAGCTCAGTAGCATGGAACGCAAGGACTATGAGCGAGAGACAACAAGGTCAGCGACGCGAGAGCAAGGGATGACTAGAGTTCGGTGACATGGATCTGGCGGTGGGACGAGGTCGAGGTCCTCTCCCTCTCCGGACCATATTGCTGCCGCCTCTCCCCTCTCTTAGGTGAAGACAAGGAAAAGAACAACGACAAATCGAGGCAAGTGATGGCTATCAGGAGGCGTGGGCCACGCGAGGTCCCCGGTGAGAACACTGTCGGTAGATTGGCAAGCTTCAGATCCGCCTTCAGGGTCGTCGCCGCTTCACTACCTCATCAGCATCCAATCTTTGCTTGGGTCGACGAGGTCTGCAGCGGCGTATAGCGCCCCGTCGACAACAACGGGCTCAGACAACTGCGACAGTGTAGGGGTGAAACAGTGTATATATATATATATATATAGAGAGAGAGAGAGATGATTACTCCCTCTGTCCCAAAATAAACACAGTGATGAGTTTTCATGTCTAACTTTAATAGTTTGTCTTATTTATTTTTTTAAAAAAAGCATAAGTCATGGATAAAGTAATATTCATGTTTTACAATTTAATAACAATAAAAATACTAACTATAGAATAATTTAAATAAGACGGATGATTAAAGTTTAATAGAGAAACTTATGATTGTGCTTATTTTGGGACAGATTGTGTGTTTAGTTCCTGAAAAAAATTGGAAGTTTGAAGAAAGTTGGAAGTTTGGAAAAAAAGTTAGAAGTTTATATGTGTAGGAAAGTTTTTGGATATGATGTGATGAAAAGTTGAAAGTTTGGAGTAGTTAGGGGTGAACTAAAAACAGCCGAAGTATCTTGTATAATTTGGTTGCTTGAATTTGCATCAAACACTTGCAAATGCGACTGCTACTGCTACAGCACCGCGGACCCAAATCCCAAAGTGTCAGGTCGGCCAGGGTGAGGCGTGAAGCCGCCACGCCAACGACTAGATAGACCGATAGGGATCTTTTGGAAAAGAAGGAAAACGTTAAAACAGCACACAATACCGTGGGCCTCTGCCCCTCGATCCATCCCCCCATCCACCCCGCCGCAACGGATAAGACCGACCGAAAAGACGACAGACACGTCACCCCCCCCTTCCCCTTCATCACCGGCGCACCGTACTAGTACTGCTCAGCTATATTACCATCTCTGTCATATCTCCTCCTCTATCCATATCCATATTTTCCCCTTTTCCATCCGCGAGCGAGGGAGTGAGTGAGCAATCGAGATCGAGATGGAGGTGGCGAGAGGCGGCGGGAAGCTGAACCCGTGGGCGGAGCCCTTCGTGCCGGCGGGCTGGTCGGCCACCTACTGGCGCTGCGGCGGCGTCGCTGCCGTGGAGCCGGCTGTGGCCGAGGTGGAGGACTTCTCCCCGGAGTGGTGGCGCCTCGTCGGCTCCTCCCCGGCCTTCCGCGACCGCTGGCTCCGGGACTACTCCGCGCTGGGCCTCCTCGACGACAACGACAACGGCGACGGCTACGACCTCGAGGGGTTCCTCCTCCCCGACGACCTCTTCTCCTCCACCCCTCATCTGGTGGGAGAACCGGCGGATGAGAAGGAGGGCAAGGGTTTCGGCGGCGCCGGGGGGAAGAAGGTGAAGGGCGGGTCCGCCGAGGTGGTGGCGTGGGGCATCGACAAGTGGTGGCGCGCGCACTCCTCGCCGCCGGAGGTGCCCAGGTACGCCGACAAGGCGCCCAGGAGGGTCGCCGCCGCCGCCGCTAGGGTCAACCCCCGCCCCATCCAGCAGCCGCGCTGAGCGTCCGTCTCCGCCGCCGCCCGCGTAATCATCCATCCATCCACCCATCTTGACAAACAAGCAGAAAAAAATTAGGGAAAAAAAGGTTTTGTTTTGTTATTTTCGATCTACTCCTAGCTTTTTTGCTAATCTCGTCGCGTCGTCATCGTCGTCAAGATCTGGGTTTTGGTCAGGATCTATGGAGCTGCGAGAGATCTCCCCTGTGTTGTGTACAGAATCATGTAAAAAAAATGCTGATGTAATAAAGATTGCAGCGAGAGATTTCGCAGCTGCTGCCTTGTAATTTCCGAGATATGGATACAGTTCCCCTTTCGTGTCTGAGCTGTGATTTTTCATTATCCGTTTGCCTTTCTGATTAGCACTAGCTTTGGTGCGATTTGCCACCCTCAGATAAGGAAGAGAGACTGAACTCTGAACAAGTGCAGCCTAGGGGGTATGACGGACAGAAGCCCAGACATTGTTCCTGTAAGGAAAAATTATACTTTTGACTCTACTCCTTTAACCATTAAAACCGATGCAAATTATATTCTTGGGCGGTTTTAAAAGCGGTTTTGGCAGAGGTGGTGTTGTTGACCAGTTTTCGTCCCGCGTGTCGTCGATGTGTCGCTTATCTGGCACTTTTAATAAAAAAAATTGTAGGACCGACATGTCATTAAAAAAAAGAAAATAGTGGGACCCACGGACATGTGGGCCGTCATCCTCACCTCTCCCCCGGTCCCCCCTCTCTCTCTTTCATCTTTTCCACTCCTCTCACCTTCCATCAGTAGAAGCGGGGCGGCACGACGTCAACGACACACGGGGGAGCTCGCCGGCCGTCCACGCTCGGGGGAGGAGCCCGCCGGCAGTCCCGCGAGCTCGCCGGCCGTCCGTGCGCAGGGGGAGGAGCTCACCGGCGTCCGCGCACGGGGGAGGAGCCCGCCGGCCGTCCGCCTGCCGGGTGAGGAGCTCACGGGCGTCCGTGCGCGGGGGAGGAGCTCGCTGGCCGTCCGCCTGCCGGGTGAGGAGCTCGTCGGCCGTCCATGCGCGGGGGAGGATGTTGGAAATATAGTCATTAATCGGCATATTTTAATCCAAGAAAATGAAACAATGATCATGGCATAAGCAGTGTAGCGTGATCTTAACATAACCAGTAGCATACTATGCGCATCATGAATGCCAGGAACAGGAACATACCAGTAACACGATAACATGCTAGAGGCATCATGTAGAACAGGAACAAAACATAGCGCACATAGTATAGCGCTAACAATGGGAACAGTAATAGCGCTAACAGCAGTAGCAGGAGGAGAAGATTATACCCCAAGAATGGCCCTCCGCTGGATGGTGAGGCAGAATTGCCTCCGTTGTTGTAGTCATTCACGGCACCTCCTCCTGGCGCACCAGCTCCGGATCCAGATCCAGCTCCTGTCGGCGACGGCGTACCACCTCTGCCAGCAGTGGCGGCAGCAACTCCAGACATGGCGATGAGCAGTCGTGCGGGAGGCACTCCCCAAAAACCTGATCACCCGCCTACCCGGTGCAGATCTCAGGCGAAGGTGTGGTTTCGGAGGCACTACTCCTTCCAATCTCTCGTGCGCGCAAGAGATCAGAAGCGGAGAAGCGAGAGCAACTCAGGCGCGGAGAAGGAGAAACTAACACCGGGAAAGAAGCGAAGAAGTCGGATCGGACTCGCGGCCTCCTTATCTATCAGGAGAAAGAACGTGGACGCGCTGTTGCGGAGGGAATCGTGGGAACGTGGGTTAGTGGCTGCAAAAGGATAGCGACGTGACGTACGCACGCCGCCAGCCACGCCTCGCCCTCGCCCACGGCCACGGCCCGGCCCGGCCCGGCGCGCGCGCGCGCGTGTGGCATTCCGACCCCCACCTCAACTGGTCAACAGGGAGCCTCTAATAACTCCCTATTTAGGTTGAGATATTTCTCGTTTAAATCCTGAGGTGGTATTATTATCCTCAACATTTATTATGGGCCTTTGAGATTTAATATTATAAATTGGGCCTAGCCCAATTATTCTAACAATCCCCACCAAATTTCAAGGCTCATAAGAAATGTTCCCAATGTTGTGCCTGTTTGATATACCAGGGTTTTGGTGGAGACTGTTAAGTTGAACTTCCACCTAGAAAATGAGCTACATCAGACCACAACTGAACAATGGACTATGCCTTGAATTGTAAGTTTTGTGTGATCAGGTTTCACTCAGAACCTTGACTGGTACTGGGCTGCCGTTCGCATCCCCTCTGTTTGGAGCATGTAAGTCAAACTCCAGGCCTTTCATGAGTATCTAGAGATTGCCCAAACCTCATAGACTGTGACTAGCAGTCGAACTCATATAGGTGTGTTCCTTCTGAGATGTTCTGCAGGTCAACATCTCTGCTTGGAAAAGCCACTCGAATCACATTAAGACATAAGCCATCCTACCATGCAGGAAAGAAGAGAAGCACATCATGAAAATGAGCCCTTTTCAAGGGTCTCTTCTCTCAGTCACACAATAGTTTGTTTCACCATCCAAATTCACGGGATCTCCGATCACAATGGACAGGTTTCCACTATTATGCAACCTTAGGTGGGTATCAAGCCCATTTCCCTCGATGCACTGTCTATCACATTACGTGGTAGCCCCTTGGTAAACTGATCTGCCAGATTTCTAGCCGTTTGGACATAGTCCAATGCTATCACTCCGGAGTTTTTCTGCTTTCTGACAGATTTCAGTCTTCTCTTGATGTGTCTAGATGACTTCATGTTGTCCTTTGAACTGTTCACTTTAATAATCACTGTTTGATTATCGCAGTTCATTAGGATAGCTGGCACTACTTTTTCAACCACCGGCAAATCCATCAGGAGTTCACGAAGCCACTCGGCCTCAACTGTCGCAGTATCTAGTGCTGTAAGTTCTGCTTCCATTGTTGACCTCGTTAAGATGGTCTGCTTGCAAGACTTCCAGGAAACAGCGCCACCTCCAAGTGTGAATGCATATTCACTTGTGGCTTTTATCTCATCAGCATCAGATATCCAGTTTGAGTCACTATACCCTTCTAATACTTTTGGATACCCGGTATAGTGAATTCCATAGCTCATAGTGCCCTTTAGATAGCGCATTACTCTTTTCAGAGCCTGCCAATGATCATCTTCCGGATTTGAGACAAACCGGCTCAGCTTGCTTACAGCAAATGAGATGTCAGGCCTCGTTGCGCTAGCCAAGTACATCAATGAACCAATGATTTGAGAGTATCTCAGTTGATCCCTTGCTATTCTTTGGTTTTTCCTTAATAGCACGCTGGGATCATAAGGAGTAGGAACTGGCTTGCAGTCACTATATCCAAAGCGACTCAAAACCTTGTCCACATAGTGGGATTACACAAGTGTAATCCCACCCTCATCTCCTCTTTGTAGTTTGATGTTAAGAATAACATCAGCCTCTCCCAAATCCTTCATTTCAAAACTCTTGGACAGATAGTCTTTGACCTCCTCAATCACATTAAGGCTGGTCCCAAAGATCAGTATGTCATCGACATATAAGCACAAGATCACCCCTTCTCCCCCACCATAGCGATAGTATACACATTTGTCAGCTTCGTTCACAACAAAGCCTGCAGATGTAAGCGTGGTGTCAAACTTCTCATGCCATTGCTTAGGTGCTTGCTTGAGGCCATACAAGGATTTCAATAGTTTACACATCATTCCCTCCTGACCTTCTAGTACATACCCGTCTGGTTGATCCATATAGATCTCCTCCTCCAGCTCTCCGTTTAGGAAAGCTGTCTTAACGTCCATCTGATGGACGAGAAGACCATGAGAGGCTGCCAGAGCAAGTAGTACTCGAATCGTGGTCAAGCGAGCAACTGGTGAGTATGTGTCGAAGAAGTCCTCGCCTTCCTTTTGGGTATAACCCTTGGCTACAAGCCTTACCTTGTACTTTTCGATTGTACCATCAGGCCTAAGCTTTTTCTTGAAAACCCATTTGCATCCTACGGGCTTGCACCCATATGGACACTCAACGACTTCCCAAGTACCATTAGACATAATCGAGTCCATTTCACTGCGTACTGCTTCCTTCCAGTAGTCAGCGTCAGGAGATGAATATGCCTCTTCTATGGTTCTTGGGGTGTCATCCACGAGGTATACAATGTAGTCATCTCCAAAGGATTTTGCAACCCTTTGTCTCTTACTCTTGCGAGTATCTACAATGTTGTCCTCCTCAGGATTTTCCTCAGGCGTTTGATCATCGTGTTCTATCGGTGCAAAGTGCTCATGGGGCATGACAGTTTCTTTACTAGAAGTGCTAGGTGTATATTTCATAGGAAATTCATTCTCAAAGAATGTAGCATCTCTGGACTCAAGAATTGTACCAGCATGCATGTCGGGTACTCCAGAGTTTACTATTAAGAATCTATAACCCACACTGTGGATAGCATAACCAAGAAACACACAATCAACAGTTTTTGGTCCAAGTTTCCGCTTTTTGGCTATAGGTACATTTACCTTGGCCAAACAGCCCCATGTTCGTAGGTATGAGAGATTTAATTTCTTCCTTTCCCATTCCTCGAATGGTGTTACTTCCTTATGCTTCATTGGAATTTTATTCAGGACATGACACGCAGTCAAAACTGCCTCACCCCACCATTCCTTGGAAAGCCCCGCAGTATCTAACATGGCATTCACCATCTCAGTTAGAGTACGGTTCTTTCTTTCGGCCACCCCATTTGATTGGGGTGAATAGGGAGGCGTCATCTCATGAATAATTCCAAACTCTTCGCAAAAGGATGCAAACTCATTGGAAAAATACTCCCCACCTCTATCAGACCTCAACCGTTTGATTTTCCTTTCAAGTTGGTTTTCTACCTCAGCTTTATAGATTTTAAAGTAATGCAATGCCTCATCCTTTGTTTTCAATAGATACACATAGCAAAATCTAGTGCAATCATCTATCAGTGTCATGAAATATTTCTTTCCCCCTTTAGTCAACACGCCGTTCATTTCGCACAAATCGGAATAAACAAGTTCTAGAGGTGCCAAATTCCTCGCCTCAGATGCCTTGTGAGGCTTGCGAGGTTGTTTCGATTGAACACAAGTATGGCACTTGGAACCTTTGACCAAAGTGAATTTTGGAATTAAACTCATGTTAGCTAAGCGCGTCATACAACCGAAATTCACATGACAGAGTCGCGAATGCCACATATTAGACTCATCATTCTCGCTAATATGGTTCACAGCATTATGATTATTACACATGTCATTCAAAGAAAAGCGGAACAAGCCTCCGCTGTCATAACCTTTTCCAACAAAAGTCCCATATTTAGATACGACAGATTTATTGGACTCAAACA